AAGCGGTATATAAGTCTAACTGCTATTGCTATTGCTAACTTTAAGACTTGTGGACTTCAACTCCCAGACTTCCCAGCTGGGGAAGTCTGGGAGTTGAAGTCCACAAGTCTTGAAGCTCCAACACTTGGACATCCCTAGCCTGTGGCATTCTGGACAAATGGCCAACCAATCGCTTCTTCAAAACCTCAACTTCCCAATTTGAATGTTATTGAATGTTATTCCTCCTCCTCCTCCTCCTCCACGCCATCTCCGAAAAAAAGAGAATCGTGTAGGAAAACTTCCGGCTTTGAGAAGCAAAGTGCATAGGAGTTTTCTGCGGCTCCAAAACACACGGCAGGAACACGGGGATGAAGCGAGGAGTCCTGAAAGCTTCTGCCTTTTAATCAAATCCACCCCTTCGAAAAAGGGATCCTCACAACCAGCCCGGCTCTCCTCCTCCAGTCTCCTCCAGGTGAAGCAGAGAGCTGCAGGCCACTTCCTTGCAGAAAGGGGGGGGCTATTCTTTCCAGCCAGCGGCCTCCTCCTGCATGGGGCTGCACTAAGCCGTCCGGGAGGGAGTAGCCAGAAGGAGCGTTGCCGTTATTCCTTGCCACCGGAGGGAATGCAAAACTCCGAGGGCTAGTAAGAAGTATTCAACATCCCAGAATTGGCCCACGGCCTGACAGGAGTGATTCCCTACCTGCTGAGATGGAAAACCAGGGCGTTCAGGAGCAAAGGCCCCGCATCTCGCCCCCTCCTCAATATTCAGCAGGATGCCGAGTCTTCCCAGGGCCCGTTCAAGGACTCACGCAGCACACCTGAGACCACACACCTGAGACCAGCTAGCCTTCCCCTCAGCTGGGCTGCCGGCCATCTGCTCGGTGCCGGCAGCCTGCCAAGCTCGCCTAGCAGCCTCCGTTGCTCCATCTTGATTGTCCTCCAAGGTTGCCAGGATGCCAAGAAAGCTGAAGGATCAGGATTGGTGCCCTTCTGCCCTCCCCCCCGAAGGAGAAGCAGCATTTGCTGGCCAAGGAACGTCACGTTGGTTGCTCCCCATCTGCACACACACAGAGCTCCCCCCATGCCTGTCTCCGAGGGTGGGAGCAGTCAGGGCAACGCATTGCAAAATGTAGCCCCTTTCGGATTCTGGGAGGATAGGACACCTCACGCCACACTGAGCTGGTAGAGGTGGCCCAAGACCAGGCCCCAGAGAGGAGTCATTATAAGCACTTGCTTAATCGGGTAATGAGAAATTCTTTTTTTTCCCCTTGTGATTTCTCCGTCTTGAAAACAAAACTCCTTCCAATTTTAAGTGCCGTCTTGGCCTGCTCTTGAAGGAGCCCGTTTCCCTTCCCCAGGACCTCAGCGGGGAGAGGGAGGGAGGGGGGGGAGAAACCCACCATCACTACCAAGGCTGGTGTGGTCCTAATCATTGCCGTCTCCTCCCCATCCAGAAATGTCCTTTGGATGGTTAAATCCTCCCACGAAAGGGCAAAAGATCCATCCGCATGCCTAATTTTAGTCCGGCTCAGTGCAGGCTGCCCACTTGAAGAGAAGATGACCTCAACTTTGGATGACTTCACGAATGCCAGGAAGAAAAAGGGGGCCAAGGAGTCTGAGCGGCTGCCCTCTTAGGGAATGCAAAGCGCAAATTACACTGCAGAAATCCTAATTTTCCTTCCAGGCAAACTATCCGTTTCCCCAGCTATCCATCTCTCAGAAAGCATCTCCTGAGCCGCCAAAGAAGACTGTTACCAAACCACTAAACCGAGTGACAATGGACGGGGACTCCGTCACTGGAGTTTTTCAAGACGCAGCTGGACAACCATGTGTCTGAAACGGTACAAGGTTTCCTGCCTGAGCAGCGGGTTGGACTAGAAGACCTCCAGGATCCCTCCCAACTCTGTTATTCTGTTATTCAAGTTCAACCCATCAATCTGCACAAAGTTGGGGGGATCCACTTCAATTGTCCGAGGGTGTTTTCCCACAAAGGGCCACGTTGTGAGTAGTTCCTCAAACACTCCAGCTTCATGGGACGTCTCTACCCCACCCCCCGACCCCACCCTCTTTGGTACAGAAGTTCTCACCAAAATGTATTTGTGACTGATGGAAAACCTGT